CTCTCTCTCTCTCTCTCTCTCTCTCTCTCTCTCTCTCTCTCTCTCTCTCTCTCTCTCTCTCTCTCGATTCCAGTAAACACCTTCCTCACTCCTTCAGGCCCAATTCCGGCCCCAGGCACCACGATTTCCCTTTTGATTTTCCAACCTCCTGCCCTCAACTTTATAGATCATCCCTTTACTAAACTCTCCTCAAATTACCTGACTTAAGTGACCCTGACGGACACGTCCCTGAAGGCTGGTTAGGGCCAAGGATCTGGCCTCCCACTGGCCCCTGGTGATCGCAGCGCCACTCTTCCTTAGTTGCCACCAAAAGCTCTCAGCTGTTCTGCTCTCCTGGCCAACACACAATACCTTCTAAGCCTGTGAGGCCCCATCTCAGGTGAACACACCCAGGGTCATCCGTAGGAGGGCCCCCAGGCAAACTGCCCAGCTTAGAGGTCAACACACCCACCCCCTCCAGCACCCTTGCATTGTTCCCACAGTGGGAAGATGATGATTCCCAAGGAATTAAGCCCAACAATCTATTCTTGAAGTCCAGGTAAAGATTGTAGACCCTGCTCTGAGCCATTAAAACTTTTCTTGCAAACTCTAAGCCCTGAAACTACACTAAAACTTTAAATTCATCATTGGGAATCCTTCACATCAGCTCATGTGTCCTGTCACCATGGCCCCGTGCTCTTTAGAGGCTCTTGTGCCCTCTTATATGACAAGTGATCCTTAACCTTCCTGCCCCAGATGGAAATTCAACCATTTACAAAAGAGTTGTTTAAAAACAAACAAGCTCATAGATACAGAGAGTACAGATTGGTGGTGTCAGAGGCAGGGGGTAGGGATTAGGGGAAATGGGTGAAGGAGGTCCAAAGGTACTAAAAAAAAAAAAAAAAAGACGTTAAAGAAAATAGGCAGGACTTCTGTGGCGGTCCAGTGGTTAAGACTCCACACTTCCACTGCAGGGGGCATGAGTCGGATCCCTGGTTGGGGGACTAAGATCCTGCATGCCACACGGTGTGGCCAAAAAAAAAAAAAAAAGTATACAAAAGAAAACAGGGAGATTCTCCACTGACTAGAGGATAACAGAGGATCGTTGTAAAGAAAGAGCTCTTAGCGTAAGAAGTAGCCTTGCTGTTGAGTTTATCTGAGGCAAAGCAGTGCTAAGAGACATAAGTACACAAAAGGGCTGAATGCTGGGGCGCCCGGAGACGCGGCATGAAGGTGTGTGTCCGTCAGCCATCAGCTCGGGTTTGCAAGCAGGGCCATCCAAAAATGAAATAGGAGAGAGATAGTATGAAGAGACAGATGGCCAGCCAGGATCAGGATGGACAAGGGCCATGGAGCCACTCACAGAGTCCACCAGGCAGTGATGCTACAGATGTGTCTGGAATGGAAACCACAGCTCCATGAAGAAAGGCTGCATCTACATCTGGGGTGGTAAGTATAGAAGAGGAGCCCAGAATCCCTTATTGTACAAGAAAGCACAGTAGCCTCCAAAGACCACTGGAGGGTTGGCAACAGGACACGCCAGCTAATAGGAAGGAGTCCCAGTGGTGAACCAGGAGAATTTTCAGCATCAAATAACATTAGGAATGGATTCAAACAAACACACCAGCTCACTTCTCTCTCACTGCCTCCCCTACACTCCCTGGCTTCCACTGGAGTGTGATTCCTCCCTGATTCTGGAAGCCTTTCTCCTCTTGTGGCCCCTGCTCCATCCTCCCCAGGCAGCCACTCCCAGGACCCTCTCCCAGCACTGCTTTCCTACCCTGGTCCAGCTCGGCACAGCCTTGTTGAGATGGACTCCAGGGAGGGCCAGTGCTCATTTAGGGCTGTTCTTAATTCCCCCCGATATTATCTGTTAACCTCACAGAGCATTTCATACTACAAGGACTGGGCCTGTGTGCCTGCTTGCTACTCAGAGAAATTCCACTTCCTTCAGCTGATACGATGGGACCCTTGCCCCTCCCCATCTACAGGTCAAGTAGAGTAAGGTGGGATGGAAACTGTCCTACCCGCCATGTCCTCCTTAAACAATCCTTGGCTCACTCTGTTTTCTTTCTTTTGACCTTCCCTTGCTCCAAGGGAAGACAGAAATAAGTAAGTTTGGCTCTTCATAGAAGCACCCAAAAGTGTTCCAGTGGCCTTTGTCAAGAGTGAGAGTAAACCCACAGTCCCTGCCCGTAGGAGCTGATACTTGATTACAAGGCTTCCTATGAATGAGTCCCTGCTCCGTAAAGAGGCAGAAATCACCATAGGTGAAATGTCTGGGCAGGAAACAGAATTCAGCAGTTTGTCAAAGACATAAAATGTCAATGCTGGGGGTCCTCAGAGATGTTCAAACACCCCCACCCCCCACTCATCTGACAGATGCTGAAACAAAGATGCTGAAAAAAAGGCCCAGAGAAGGAAATAGCTCTTCAGTCTGGTCCAGGACTTAATAGTTCTGTGGTGGCAGCACCAGGCCCAGGCTAGTATTCTTCCCATATCCATGGCCCCCGCCCTGTGGCTCCCCTGCAGTCCTCAGACTCCCCGCAGCAGCCCTTGGCAGCCCTCTAGCTCAGGTCATTGTGAGTGTGGAGTTTTCTAAGCAGGCCCCTTCCCTAGAAACTCTGCTCTAACCAAACATGCAGGTCTGATAAGGAACAAAACAAACCTTTTCAAAACAGTCCCACCCAAGGGAGGGGGATGGGCCACTTTGTTTTCTTGTGTGGTGAGAACATGGCTGGCCTGGAACAGAGGCAAAACTGGGTCCTGGTCCTGCCTCAGGCATTTCACAGCTGTGTGATCTTAAGCAAACCCCTGTTCCTCTCTGGGCCTTTGTTTTTTGTTTGTTTGTTGGTTTGTTTTGTTTTTTAATAAGATGGAGATAACTATTGTCCTGGATGACCTAGAAAGTACCTGGCCAGAGCTAACATTTGATGATTCCATAGTTTTCTGGGAGGACAGTTTTGAGATCTTTAGTATTGCTTTCATACCACCTCATTCTACAGCAGCACTGTCCAATAGAAACATACTAGGAGCCATATATATATATATGTGTGTGTGTGTATGTGTATACATACACATATATATTTCTTCTAGTCCCATCAAAAAAAATAAAAAGCAGGTGAAGTTAATTTTAATAATAGATTTAACTTAGCCCGATATATTCAAAATATTATTTCATCATGTAATTAGTACAAAACAAATTATTGAGATATATTACATTATTTTTTTCATACTAAGTCTTTGAAACCCACTGTGTATTTGTGATTGTGGACTAACCACACTCCAAGTGCTCAGTGGGCACTTGTGGCCACTGGCTACCATGCTGGACAGCATAGGCCTAGGGTTTAGCTCAGGAGTGACCAAACCCAACCAGACTTCCTACCTTGGGCCTCACCCTCCTGTAGTCCATTATTAAAAGAACATCGTGTCACTCCCCAGCTTAAAAGATGTCTGATACCTCCTGCTCTTGGAAGACAAGGTCTGCACACCCTGTCATGATTTAAAAGACCCTCCACGGGCTTCCCTGGTGGCGCAGTGGTTAAGAATCCGCCTGCCAATGCAAGGGACACGGGTTTGGGCCCTGGTCCGGGAAGATCCCACATGCCGTGAAGCAACTAAGCCCGTGCGCCACAACTACTGAGCCTGCGCTCTAGAGCCTGTGCACAGCAACCAAGACCCAACGCAGCCAAAAATAATAAATAAAATAGATAAATTTATTTTTTAAAAAAGAAATGCATAATAAAAGACCCTTCACAATCCAGCCCTAATTTCCCTTTTAAACTTTTCTCTCTCCTCTTCACTTCCAAGAGGTGGCCACCACAGGTTTTTCTGTCCTCCAGTTGGGGATCTCCTTGAGGATTCGTTCCTTGCTTCGTTCATTCAAGAAGCACCTACTAAACGTCAGGCAGCGTCGGGGGGGGGGGGACGGACCCAACTCAAAGAGTGTAAGGCACCTTCTCTGACCGACTCTTACCCCTCCCCACACGCCCGCCCCACCGAGGTTCAATCTCTCGAAGCCCCACCTCGCTCCAGGTTTACCGCTCGTCGTCACCCAGCTGGGTGGGTTGTCCCCATGTCCTTCTCCCACAGCCTCCAGGGCAAGGAATGTGCATTCTTGGCGCTTTCCTCCACGCCTGCCATATCACGAATGTTCAATAAACCGATGAATGACCAACCAACCAATCCCCACTTTCTCATCTGAGGAACTAGAGCACGAAACAGGGAGGGTTGAGGGGACCGTCAGGCCTGATGTCCCAGTATTGAAACTAGCCTTGCCACAGGGGGCCGGATGGGCTAGGTTCCCCGCACAGCCTGAGACGCGCCTCCGACCCAGCAAGGCATTAACGTAGGCAAGCTTCCCGACCACCAACCCCACCCGACCCGTCCCTGCCGGCGTGTCAGCTGGGGACCCGAAAGGAACAGGGGAATGGTCACTGGGGACCCGAATGGAATAGGGGCGTGGCCGCGAGGTACCCGAAAGGAACAGAGGCGGGGCGCAGGCTTCGGCGCGCAGGAGCGGGTGGGTTAGAGGCCTCCGACCCAGCGCGGGGGAGGAACCGCAGAGCATTCGGCCCTGGGGGAGGTGGCGTGGCGGCGGCGCGGGAGGAACTACAAATCCCAGGGGGCGTCACCCCGAGAGGCGGAAGGGGCGGTCTCGGGCGGGGCGGGCCCGAGAGAGACTGAACGAGGCCAGAGGGTTGTGAGGGACCCGCTCCGGCTGCGGGCGGAGAGCTCGGGAGACCATGTCCAGCGGCAGCAGCTGCAGCCAGACCCCAAGCCGGGCCATCCCCGCCACTCGCCGGGTGGTCCTCAGCGACGGCGTGCACCTGCCGCCCGGGGACTACAGCACCACCCCCGGCGGCACGCTCTTCAGCACCACCCCAGGAGGTAGGCACGGGCTCGGGGGTCGCCGCGCGCCCGCTCCGGGTGCGGGCGATGTGGAGAACGGACTGGGCAGAGCTGGAGGGCTCGGGAACCGCCAGCAGGACGTGGCGACCGGGCTCCGGGGCGCGGCGACTGGGAAGAACGGATATGGGGCATCAGGGAGGCGGTGAGGGTCACGGAGGTAGCTACAGGGAGCGCACGGGGGGCCGCCTTCCATAGCCCGCGCTCTGGGTGCGAACTCCAGAGCCGCGGCTGCAAATGCCACCACATTAGTTTCCTTCTTTCTGGGAGAGACAGCTGAGTCCTCTCACCCAAACAAACGCACGCTTCCAGGCCTGCCACATGTCAAGGTGTGCTGCCCCTTGTGGGTGTTGGGGGCAGTTCTGAGGCAGAATAGGGTGGGGTCAGGGTGACCCACGAACCAAGAAGAGGCCGGGCCTGGGGTTTTTATGAGATAGGTTGTTGGCGTCACTGCCACTTGCAGAGCCCTTTTTCCTTCCCGAGGCACCCCCAGCTTTGGGCTGAGGGTGCTTGCCTGCTCCAGCAGTGTCTCGGCGACACGGGTGGCAGATCGCCCTTTTACACCTGTGGTTCTCAGCGAAGGGACCTGGGGCCGCGGGCAGCGCTGTGCAGAAAAACACGTTCTTCTGTCCGGGGGGAGGGGAGGGAACCGTGTGATCTCCCTGAGAATGGATGAGGAAGAGGAAGCTGAGCTGGCGCGGATGGGGGCCCGCCTTGGGCTGTCCTCGGGAGCCTCCCAGCCCCGGAGTCCCGGCGCACGGGCGCTGATGAAACCTGCCCGTGCGTTTGCATGATGAAACCCTCGTGCTCACCACTTCCCTCTCGTCCTCGCGCTGTTCCCACCCGCTTCTGCCCTTCTCCCCTCCCCTTACACCCTCTTCCACCCCTCCTTCCCAAACTACACGAAAAACGCCGCAGATTCTGGCGCTCCTCTGAGACCCACGGGTGGGGGAGGACGCGCGCGGGCGGGGTTGCAGCCTCGTCGCCTTGCCAGCGTCGGGGCCACATCCTTATTTTCTCAGGCAGCTGTCCCGCCACCAGCGAGCACAGCCAGATCGGAGGCCCGGAGCTGTTTGATCCAAAACATACAATGTTAGAGCTGTTAGCGATCTTAGACGTTCTTGTAAAAAACGGTGCCGCCTTATTCTGTGGAACGCGGCACTGAGGCCCCAAATACGTGCCCACTGTGCAGTGTCACACCGTTTTCACAGATTGAAGAAGAAATAGCAGCCAAGCATAGAGGGGAGAAATGCTGCCTCATCTATTAAAAATGATCCAAGGAAAAGTTCCCAGCGACCCTTCCTACCACTCTTTGACTCAAATTCTCTTTCCATCCTGGAACTTATACAGTCCATGCTGTTCTGCTTTTTCTGTGTCATGATGTGTCTACCGGGACTTTTCTGGACAATCTTGGGGCTCCTTCAAGTGAGGGGGTGAACCTGTGCTTGATCTGTTCAGGGTGGGCACTGAGGCAGGCCTGAAGGCTCAGGTGGTCCTATTTTGCAGCTTTGTTGCTAGATGGAGTGTGTCAGATTGGAAGCAATAGCCAGGGGTGCTGTTGATAGGGAGCTCCCACTTCTCACTTTGCGCTGGGAAATAGGGGTTTGGGGCAGACCTCAGCCAGTCTTCCTCCTTTTGAAGGTCTTCCGTTGAGAGAGAGAAGGGGCATCAGGGTGTAACTTAGTTTCTGAGGCCAACGGGAAGGAAGCTAGCAGTGCCCGGAGCCTAAAGCCAGGTCTTTCTTGTCTGGGGTGTCCAGCTGGGGAGGCACAGCTCACAGCCCATAACCTGGAGGATCCAGGCTTGCCTCTGCCTCAGCCAAGTCGTGGAGTCTTCCTCCAAAGCCCACTTCAGCCCAACCCTTTGCCGCCCCTTTGCCCAGGGCAGAGGAGCTTGACCTAATGAGAAAAGGTCATTCCTGACCCTCTTCTGCTTCAGTCTGGAGTGCTGTTTCTCAGTCCTCGATGTGCATACGAATTACCTGGGGACCTCATTTCAATGCAGATTCTGATTCTATAGGTTTGAGGTAGGGCCTAAGATTCTGCATTTCTTTTTCCTTTTTTTTTTTTTTACATCTTTATTGGAGTATAATTGCTTTACAGTGGTGTGTTAGTTTCTGCTTTATAACAAAGTGAATCAGTTATACATATACATATGTTCCCATGTCTCTTCCCTCTTGCGTCTCCCTCCCTCCCACCCTCCCTATCCCACTCCTCCAGGCGGTCACAAAGCACCGAGCTGATCTCCTTGTGCTATGTGGCTGCTTCCCACTAGCTATCTACCTTACGTTTGGTAGTGTATATATGTCCATGCCTCTCTCTCGCTTTGTCACAGCTTACCCTTCCCCCTCCCCATATCCTCAAGTCCATTCTCTAGTAGGTCTGTGTCTTTATTCCTGCCTTACCCCTAGGTTCTTCATGACATTTTTTTTTCTTTAATTCCATATATATGTGTTAGCATACGGTATTTGTCTTTCTCTTTCTGACTTACTTCACTCTGTATGACAGACTCTAGGTCTATCCACCTCATTACAAATAGCTCAATTTCGTTTCTTTTTATGGCTGAGTAATATTCCATTGTATATATGTGCCACATCTTCTTTATCCATTCATCCGATGATGGACACTTAGGTTGTTTCCATCTCCGGGCTATTGTAAATAGAGCTGCAATGAACATTTTGGTACATGACTCTTTTTGAATTATGGTTTTCTCAGGGTATATGCCCAGTAGTGGGATTGCTGGGTCATCTAACTAGCTCCCAGTGATTGGTGTAAGTACCACACTCCGAGTACCCAGGAATTAGTGGAATGTGACAGCCCTCACCGTTTCAGTCCTCTGCGGTCTGACCAAAAGTGATGCTTCTAGGCAGGTGAACTTCTCTTGAGGTTGGGTCTGGCATCCATCTTTAAACCAGGGTCTGGAGAGCCAGGCTTTTGACAGTCTTCCTGTGTGGGAAGTGTCAGGAGCTACTGGAGTAAAGTGTCTGCTGGTCACTCTTGCTGGGAAGAGCACTGCAGTGTCTGTCCCTGGGGCAGAATGAGAGCAGGTGACCTGAGCCATCTCCATGCCTGTGACTCACTTTGCTTTCCATGGTCATTAACTCTACACAGGCTGAGTCACTGATCTGAAGTTAGGTATCTGGAGAACTTAGGATAAATTTACTTCAGGGAGTGTCACAGATGAATATTTGAGTCTGTGGAGTCTTGTGGGTTTTTTTTTTATTATTATTTTATTGAAGTATAGTTGATTTACAATGTGTTAATTTCTGCCGTACAGCAAAGTGATTCAGTGATACATATATATTCCTTTTCATATTCTTTTCCATTAGGGTTTTTTTTTTTTTTTTCTTATATGGCCACGCTCTGCGGCATGAGGGATCTTAGTTCCCTGACCAGGAATCGAACCTGTGCCCCCTGCCTTGGGAGCACAGAGTCCTATTCACTGCACTGCCAGGGAAGTCCCTCCATTAGGGTTTATCACAGCATACTGAATATAGTTCCCTGTGCTGTACAGTAGGACCTTGTTGTTTATCCATTCTATATATATTAGAATAGTTTGCATCTGCTAATCCCAAACTCCCAATCCTTCCCATCCCCACCACCCCTTTCCCTTAGCAACAAGTCTGTTCTCTATATCTGTGAAGTCTTAAAAATCTCCAGTAACACCATAAACCAGCAGAACCTTTGAGTGGGTCAGATACCTTCATCCACCCTTCCCCCACCAACCTCTACGTTCCCAGTTCCTTATTGGATGTTTGACCCCAAAGCTATAGGGGTTGTTGCTTGGGTGTTAGTCATACCTAAGCCCTGGACCTGGATAAGGTTAATCAGAGGTACGCAGGTAGGACTACAGGTGTTACTGGCACCCTATTTGGTTAGACAAACAAAGTCTGTGCCCAGGAAGCTTACCTCGGGGCAGCTCCCAGGTCTGGCTGTGGAACAGACAGTGCCGGGAAGATGGGGAGGTGGGCTGGGCACTGAAGCTGGGGTACAGCCAGTGTCCCCAGGCCTTAGTCACATTGTCTCTTTCTTTAAAAAATAAATTTATTTATTTTATTTATGGCTGCGTTGGGTCTTCGTTGCTGCGCGCGGGCTTTCTCTAGTTGCGGTGAGCAAGGGGCTACTCTTTGTTGTGGTGCGCTGGCTTTTCATTGCGGTGGCTTCTCTTGTTGCGGACCACGGACTCTAGGCACGTGGGCTTCAGTAGTTGTGGCACGCGGGCTCAGTAGTTGTGGCTCGTGGGCTCTAGAGCACAGGCTCAGTAGTTGTGGCGCACGGACTTAGTTGCTCCGTGGCATGTGGGATATTCCTTGATCAGGGAATCGAACCCGTGTCCCCTGTATTAGCAGGCGGATTCTTAACCACTGCGCCACCAGGGAAGTCCACATTATCTCTTTATTACAGGTTAAAAGAACTTGACATTAAGGCAAGGAGGGAACTGTAATAGGCCTCCTTTTACACTGACCTGAGCTTCCTTTTAAAGCGTTTGGAACATTCCACACTATGTGCCTCATTAAAGACTTTGACAAGGACCCTGGTGTAGAGCATCCCAGACTCCCTCCAATGCCCATGGCCTCCCTGTTCTTAAGGCCTTTATGGCATGGGAAGACAGTGTGACCTCGAGGGCTTGCGTTGCAAGTTAGAAAGATGAAGTCACACCTGAAATAGAATTATAAGCATCAGAGTTTTATCTATAGACTGAAGCAATTAGACAGACACCCCACGCCACCCCTGAGAACCTGTATATTAAGTGAGAATTGCCCACTCTAAGTAGTCGGCCTGGTAGGCCTTACATTCTAACAATGCAGACACAGCTGTTGGATTTGAATTGCCTTCAGAAGCTTATGTATTTTTTTCCTCAAAGGTGGCAGGGCCTCATTATTTGAAAAAGGAGTTTTTTTGTTTTTTCCTGAAAGAGCAAAGAAGTCCTTCATTACCACATTTGGTGAAAGGGCCAGCAGGATGGTACCATATTGTTCTCTT